GCCGCACCTTTGGTGTTTACGGCCAAGGGGAGTTTACGACCATAGGGCTTGACTTTAAGAGGTGTTAATGACCCTAACAAGCATTCACTATGTAACAGCCCGAAATTTCCAGGTATTTATTATTAGTGTATTTTTGGAAGATTGTGAGTGGACTCAGCGAGTTGGAGCTCAAACTCGCCGAGTAGGATCGCGATTTTGGACGTTGGTTCGCGTCTGGACTCGGCGAGTCCACGCTGTTTAATGAAACCCTAATTTCCAAGGTTTAAGACCTATTTAAAGGGGCTTATGGCCGTCATTTGCGCCCACCAACCCCTACAGAGAAACCCTAAAGAGATTTGAGCATTTTGGGAGAGAACAGAGGCCATTATTGACCTTTGAAGCTTGGTTTGGCAAGGCAAAGGAGATTCTAGCTAAGAGAAGGCAAGGGAAGTGGACATTCTTCGATTTTCGTCCCTATTCATGATAAGGCTTGAGATGAGATCTATAGAGGTCTAGAAGAGTTGTATTCCTTAAGCTTTATGAGGGTTCATGAGAGTATTGGCCTAGAGTTATGAGATATGGGGCTAAAACATCATTTATGAGCAAATAGTTGTTGTTTGAGCCCCAAGGTTTGGACTTTATGTGATTATCATGCTTGGGGAGGCCAGATATATGAATGTATCGAACAGATCTGACCTCAGGAGTGAGTTTGAGTTGATGCATGGCATGGACCCGCTGAGTCTGAAGAACAGACTCGGCGAGTAGCATGAAGATTGCCCAGCACCACTCAGCGAGTGGTCTTGCCGAATTAAGGGATTGACTCAGTGAGTCAGAGAGATTCAGAGTGGGTTGACAGGTAGACTGAGTCAAGCTGGAACTCGCCGAGTTATTCTTGAGACTCGGCGAGTTGAGTCGTGGAGGCCCCACAACTCATGCCAGGTGGAACTCGTCGAGTTAGGAGAATACTCGTCATGTTAAGTGAGGATCCCAGGGAAATCACTGTATGCGTATAAACTCGCCGAGTCGCTATAGTGCACTTGCCGAGTCTGATCAAAGTTGATCGTTGACCATTGACCAGTGTTGACCTATGTTGACTTGTTAATGGATAGTCAAACTTTGTTGTGAAGTGTTATTTAGAGTCGTATTGTGTTATAGGAGGACTATAGATCCGGAGATCGAGCACGAGTGATTTCAGGGACTTGCGAGTTACCGAGAGACGCGAGGTGAGTCTTCTCACTATACTTTACCTTAAGTAGGTAACTAGAGTTATGTGGTACAGTGTTTGTATGCTATATATGTGTTATGTGTTGCGCTGCATTATTCTATGTGATTTATGATGTGCATGTTTACAGAGTTAGAACCTGAGGGTTTACAGAGTTTGGGTGCACAAACCCACAGAGTTATAGCCTCGAGTGGTTAATATGTGTTATATGTGGTATTTTGCGGAACTCACTATGCTTTGTGCTTACGTTGTTTGGTGTTATTTGTTTCAGGTACTAGTGACGACCGTGGGAAGGCGCCGGCTTGATCAGTACACATGCATGGGATTTTAAGAATTTTGAGATCTTGGGATTTTTGTATTACTTGGATTGAGTTTCAAACATGGTTGTTTTATGAATATTAAGTGAATTATGTTTTATAAAAAAAATTGAAAATTTTGTTTCGAAATTTTCGGTGTTACACACTAAGTGTTCGTGGTCCTAGGTTTGGACTTAAAATGAGTTTGCGGCCAAGATATGCACCAAAACAAGGGTTTACGGCCATACAAGAGTTAACGGCCGTAAACTCTTGATGTTCATGAACTTTATGATGTTTCAAGTCTAGGAATCATGTGTTTATCAAGCCTAACTAGAACATAGAAGAGATACTTAAACTTTTGAGGGTTCATATGGATTTCACATCCTAAGAACAAGTGTATGTTCTCGGTGAAAGTTGATGATCTTGAAGATCTAACGAAAAGAGGTATTTTCATGGATGAAATCATAGGGTTTCACTAGATTAAGCATGGTACCAACTAACAAATGGAAGAAACACTTACTAAATTAATGATCAAGATGAAAACTCTTGATGATAGTTGTGAGAAAATCGAGTTTCTTGAGTTGGAAGGGTGAGAAATGGTGGAAAATGAAGGAATATCACTCATAAGGCATGAGTTCACGGCCATCCAAGGGTTTACAAACGTAAACTCCATATGATCGAGTTTTCCAGCTTGAATGCTACTCCATGAACTCTAGTAGATACTTCCTAATACCAATTCTTTGAATGTACTATTCTTAAAACACTCAAATAGACCCTAAATAATGTTAAAAGATAGCATAAATGATTCTGAATTTGATTAAATTGAATGGTTGTACAAGATAGAAATTTTGGGTTGTCACACACATGATCCATTGATCTATGATAATCTACGTGATACCGATTGTCATCCTTAATTGGTCATATATTAGTGTGTCGGTTAACCACATACTCTCCATTAACGACCAACAAGGTGCAATGTGTAATATTATAGATTACCACCAAATTCATATTTTTCTGAAGTAACTAAGATTGGGAATTTTCTAAACGAATTTTGTTACTTTATATTGTTCATTATACTTATTAATGAGGATTTAATATCCTATCCTACCCGTTCGGCAAACGACCCTCTACTAGTCAAGGAAACAGTGGGTGAGAGTGGACACCCATTTAATCGCTATTTTAGAGCAAATCTCCTTATACCCCCTTATAGACCAGCTTCGTGAATGAGGTCTACTAACCGTAAGACTGAATCTACTTATATATATATATATATATATATATATATATATATATATATATATATATATATATATATATATATATATATATATATATATATATATATATATATATATAGGTTCAGGTTCATTTGAGACCATTCTAATTTTGTGAGACCGTGAGACCAAATCTAAAAATAATTTTAAAATGCAAAATAAATGGAAAAATCCAAAAAAAAAAAAAATTTAAATATTATTTTCGGAACTTGAATTAACTAAAAAAAATATATAAAAAATATAAAAAAAATAAAAAAAACAAAAAAAATTCCGTTTTTTTTTTTTTTTGAAAAATACGTGAAATATTCTAAATAGAATATTACACTGACATATTCTAAAAAATAATTTTATAATGAAAAATAAATGGAAAAATCTAAAAATTCTGTTTTTAAATATTATTTTCGGAACTTGAATTAACTAAAAAAAATTTTAAAAAAATAAAAAAAAATCTATTTTTTTTGAAAAATACGTGAAATATTCTAAATACAATATTACACTGTACGTATTCTAAATATAATTTTAAAATGCAAAATAAATGGAAAAATCAAAAAATTCTTTTTTTTTAAATATTATTTTCGGAACATGAATTAACTAAAAAAAATAAAAAAAATAAAAAAAAAATTTTAAAAAATAAAAAAATGCGTCTCACGGTCTCACAAAATATAGGTGGTCTCAAATGAACCTAACCCTATATATATATATATATATATATATATATATATATATATATATATATATATATATATATATATATATATATATATATATATATATATATATATATATATAAGTATTAAGCTTTTAATATTATAATAGTATAAGGGTGTATTTTAAACATTTAAAAATTCTAGGGTTTTTAATCAAATTTTAAATTTTCAAAAAATTAATACCTTTTAATTTTAAAATCTTATATATTAAAACATTGATTTAATAATTATCCAAAATTAAACAATTAGTTTAAATTATTAAATCATAAAGGATTATCGATTAAATTAAATAATTAGACAAAACTGCGAATTTGGTCCTTGTGGTTTGCCAAAACCTTTGGATGGGGTCCAAATAGTTTCCAGCTTGCACCAAAGGTCCAAAATCAAGGTTTTCTTGGGTTTTTAGTCCATTCCGTCATTGACCGTTTGTTTGGGGCCGTTAGTGCCTACACGTGCCCTCCATGTGAGGGCATTTTGGTCATTTTAGGTCAGCTTTTTAATAATATCATATTTCTCCCTTATATACATATACGCAATCCTCTTCCTCTTCTTCATTTTTATTTACAGAGAAGAATCCTCTTCCTCTTCTACTTCGTCTCTTCTTCTTCATCTCTCGTCTACTTCTACTGCTACGAGATTCAAAAATGGTGCTCTGCTTCTGTGGGAATGTTGCTGTTGTGCGAACCTCATGGACTTCACGAAACCCTGGTCGTCGTTTCTATGCATGCCCTAAAATGGTTAGCAAACTGATATTAGGTTACAGAGAAGTCGGTAGTTAAGCAATAACTCTTCTACTTTAATGTATTCTTGTAGGGATCCAGATGTGCATTTTTGGGGTGGTTCGATCCCCCTATGTGTCAAAGATCAACTGTTATCATACCAGGACTGTTGAGAACAATGAATAGGTATGAGGTTGAAGTGGGCAAGCTGAAGATGTGTTTGCTTGTCTCGTGGATTTTGTTTCTGTTGTTTGTGCTGTTTTGGAAATAGGAATTAGAGGTTAGGACTTTTTTGTTGGTAGTAACCACTTAAAAATGTTGTCTTTTGGTGCTAGAAGGTTTAATTGTGGTTTATATATGTTTTTGTTGGTAGTAACCACTTAAAAGTGTTATCTTTTGGATCATTGTATATGTAATGCTTTTATGACAATGGGAAGTGTAATGGTTTTATCCTTTTATGAATATGAAATTATAAAGGTTTGATCTTGACATGATATGCAAGTGTAATGGTTTTTCTCTACGTTTGAATATGCAATTGTAATGGTTTTATATGCATACATTAAGTACATTGCCATAACATCTTCATGCTTTGACAGTACAACATAAACAAATAACAAACAACATTACCAAAAGGGGACCATAACAGATAAATGCCAAAACACAATCATTACCAACAAAGGGCATTAAAGTACATTATCAAAAGGGCATCAAAGTACATTATCAAAATGGAGCAAAAAAAAGGCAACAAAGTACCAACTAAAGTGCATTAACAAGTCTTGACAAACATAAAAAGTACTTAAACATCAATTCCCATCTTTGGCCTTGCAGGTCCTGGCATTGTGACCCTTTTGCTTACACTTACTACATGTAACAGTCAAAAACTTCCTGCTCAGTGATTGAGTTTCATTATCATTTTGACTTTGACTGTTTGCTTGCCTCTTACGTTGCTGGATTTCAATCCTTTCCTCTGCTGTAATCCTTCTTTTCTTTTTTGGCCTGCCTATAGCTTTGTTGTGTGGTGGAGGCACAAGAGTTGTTGGGCAGTCACTCTTAGGCCACATGGCTCTACCTTTGATAGGCTCCACCTTGAAGGAGTACATCTCTTTTCCATGTATCAAGCCAATACACCTTATGCACATAGGTGTATAGTTCTCCTACCTTTTCATTGTTGTCTGCCATTTCATTTAGGCTTGCAATAGCATGTTTGCAAGGAATTCCAGTAAGCTCCCACTTTCTACAACTACACTCCCTTTTCTCCATGTCCACCACATGTTGATCATTCCATGGACCTTTAACCTGATACTTTTGTCCCCTATTCCATCGTGCATGATACTTGCTAGCTAGTGTTGTGTTTGCTTCCAAAATCCTAGTACCAGTTGGAGTTAATGGACCTTGACACTTGTTTAACACCTTCATCACATTGCATACTCTCTTCATAAGGTACTCTCTGATGAACTCCAAACAACTGATAATGGGTTTGTCTCTCCCTTTTACAAGTTTGCTATTGAACACTTCACAAAGGTTATTCAATAACATGTCTGAAATTGCCCTTCCTAATAGTTCATTAACAAAACAACAGTTAGTGTATATCTATACTACAATAAAAAATAAGACAACAAATTGAGAAAATACCAGAAAAATGACTTCTAGCCCAATGATGTGGAGGGATTTTCAAGAGCCATTGATATGCTTCTATGTCATAATTCCTTAGCTCTACCATTACAGCTTCAAACTCTGGTATGGTGGTGGCTGTAGCACACCTCCAAAAATACTCCTTGTACTCTGTAGTCTTAAATAACATCCTCATGTTCTGGTATATGTGTCTAATACAGAACCTGTGTTCTGCATTAGGGAACAATTGTTCTATGGCTGGTAGAAGACCCTGTTGTCACCAAAACAAAATAAGAAATTATCATTAGTTTGTAATGAAACTAGTATGCAATATTAAATGTAACTATAGTACCTTCTGTCTATCACTGATAAAGGTGAAGTTGGAATTTGAATACAAGTCAAGATCTTCTGCAAGACACTGAAGAAACCATTTCCAACTTGAAGTGTTTTCACTTTCAGCAACAGCATATGCCAATGGGTAGGTTCCATTGTTGGAATCAACACCAACTGCACTTAGTATTTGACCTGGGAAAGGTCCCTTCATGAAGGCTCCATCTAAACCTAAAAATTCTCTCAAACCTGCCTTAAAACCTTTCTTCAAAGGACCTAAACACACGTATATCCTTCTGAATTGCCTGGTTGGGGATGAAACCACAGGTTCTGAAACCACATCAATCTTTACAGTTGTACCTTCATTTGTCTTTTGTAGCTCTAGTACATAGTCTCTCAAAGCTGCATATTGCTTTACGTAATCCCCTGCAACATTTTTGGTGGCTAATGCTTTTGCCCTAAATGCTTTCTCTTCTGAAATACTAACTCCATAAGTTGATTGGAGTTGCTCTTGTAGGGCACGAACAGGCAGTCCAGGATTAGCTTCAATCTGATCCATAATACGTTTGGAAAGAAATGTTGCTGTGCAAGATCTGATTTTTCGTGTTTGGAGGCAGATGTGTTTCTGATTATACGTCTTAATAAACCAATAGTCCTGTTCACTTGACCTAGATGCATGAAGTTTCCATGTGCATTTAACTTTATCTGAGTTTACATCTTTACCCTTTACCTTTTTCCCAGGGGTAGGTCCACCTACCCCACTTGCATTTAAAACTACAGTTCCATCACAAACAGCTGTTAATCTACTCTTGTCGTTTTTTGTGAATGAGATATTCCTCCTTGTCTCTAAAGCATGCAGGTCAATTTTATCTTTCAATTCTTTCTTGGCTTTATATTTCTGCCCAATATGAAAAGCTACCTTGTGCACCTCACCAGCAGAACATAAGGTTTGTTTCCCCAGCTCTTTGATCATTTCTCTTCTTTTCCTGTTGTCCCCTGAGTCATCACTTAGTGAATCCCACTCGTCATTGTCAATTACCTCCAAATCATCTTCTTCAACACTATCTTCATTTCTTTGACCACCCATTCTTTGACATCCATTGAACTCTGCTTCTATATCAATATTTAGATTGAAATCCTCCATGTCAACGTCAACATCTTCAATTATGTTGTCCTCATCAATCATAAAGTCACTATCTTCATCTTCACTGTTTTGATTCTCAAACTCAATGTCATCAGGCTCCTCTTGTCTGCACTCATCATTGAAAGGAATATTATCTTGGCCTTCAAACCCATTAAATGGGATGCTATCTTCGTCTTCAAACCCTTCAAAAGGTTGAAAGTTTGTCATTAACTCATCATCTATGTTGATGTTAGTTGAAAATTCATTGACTCCTTGAGGATCATTATCCATGACAACTCTATACCCCTCATCTGCAAATCCTTCTACACCCTCACCATTGGATTTGTTCACATCAAGTTCTTCATTCACATCAATCTCTTTGTTTAACTCTTTTTCTGCATCAACTACAACAAATTCATCTACAAATCCTTCTACACCCTTACCCTTATCAACTTCACCACTTGCCATTGTTTTTTCAGCACCTTCCCAATCCAATTTAAGCATTCTACTACAAGACGATGCCCCTTTACTATGTTTCCAACCTTTAGACCTACTAAATTCAGGTGTTGCTGATTTGTATAAGGTTAATGCTAACCCTAAATCACCCTCACCAACATCAATTTGGATTGGAGTTACCACTTCATGAGCAACTACAGGTGATGAGGGTCTAATGCAATCCTGCTTCTCCATGTCTTCTATTATAACCCTTTTTGGACCAGTTGGGGACATAAAATATGTAAGCAAGTTCGTTTGACCATGCTCTGTGTACACTTTAATCATTTTGTTATTATGGGTAACATATCGTGAGAGATTACGCACATCATCATCGTTACCTAATGCTCGGAGTCCAAAGTCAAATCCTTCATTAGGCAAACGGAAATGGTAATACATGATTTCAGTACCATCATACCCTAATTCTCTCATCATCGAGTCTAGTTCATGAACAGAAAATTCATCAATGTCGACAACATCAAAGTACCTTACTTGGCCATTAATATACCTGATATTTGGAAACTTTGTGAAACTCCCTCCGTGATGAAGTTCAATAGAGAATATGTTGGGGTAACCATCTTCAAAACAGAAAGAGACGATTATTAGTTAGAGTTTTTCAAAGTTTGAAGCTTGATCATAAAATACAGAGTTTTTCTAAGTTTGAATCTTACCATAAACTTCTTGAACGTTGACAATCTCTCCAACATTTCTAAGTCCCCACATTTTCAAAGTTTCAGATGATCGTTAGGGTTTTTGCGTTTGAATCAAGAGGTATGAGTAGAAGACGAAGGAGTGAGGAATGAGTAGAAGACGAAGGAGTGAGTACAGTCTGAACTCTTATTAATTGAAGTGGCGGCAACGGAGGCTGACCTAAAATGACCAAAATGCCCTCATATGGAGGGCACGTGTAGGCACTAACGGCCCCAAACAAACGGTCAATGACGGAATGGACTAAAAACCCAAGAAAACCTTGATTTTGGACCTTTGGTGCAAGCTGGAAACTATTTGGACCCCATCCAAAGGTTTTGGCAAACCACAAGGACCAAATTCGCAGTTTTGTCAAATAATTAATTTCACCTAATCCCTTTATGCCGTAGATTTCGAAAATTTAGGAAGGTATATTTCAAAATCTTTAGTTATCCATTTAAACAATTAAAAAGATAATTGCCAAATATAACATTATCCTAATTCATAAAATTTTGAAATATAATCTTGGGGAGGAAGGTATTTTCGAAAACCCTAGGGTTTACCAACCCTAAAATTGAAAATATGGCTCCAAAGGAAAAGGGTTCACGAAACCCTAACAAATTTAGAAAACTGGGGTTTTGAAACCTAGATTTCGAAAATCCATCCCTAGGGTTTATTTGCCATAAACCCTAATTTGTCAAATTCATACTTTTGTATCAAATATAATTGAAAACAACAACCAAAAGCCATGATACCACTATTGCGTTTTATACATAGCAAACAATCATATGTATGAATGCAACCCTAATTTAAGAATCTATGTTTTCACTATTAGATATACAAGCATTGAACACAAAAACTAGAAACCCTAGGAGGCACATGTAATTTTCGAATATAACATATAATTAGGGTTAGGATACATACATTTATTTTCATATTGTAAGAAAAATCAAATCCTTGAAGATCTTGAACTTTAGTAGCAAGCGCCATAAGTGTCGCGCCTCTAATGTGTCACAAACAAATGTAGCAACCAAGGATTACTATCGAGAGAGAAAGAAGGGAAGTGAAAATTCAACTCTAAACCTTTCTCGGAGTGCATCGGACAAAATCCAACTGTATAGGGGTTTATATAGGTGATAAGAAATGTTTAGGATAAGGCAGGTGTATCTTAGAAAACCCTAATCCCTTAACTTCCTCCCTAAGGCTTCTATGGCACCCTTAGAGCCCAAGGAAACCCTACGACACTCTAGATTTTGTTCCCTGCCTCTAAGGGAGGTTCTAAAATATTCAATGTTTAACTTTTGAACATTGTCATATTTAGTCCCTGCAGTTTCAATTAATTCATTTAATCCTAAAATTAATTCCAAATTAATTTCTGATTAAATGTTAATTAAACAATATGATTTCTAATTAATATATTATATCCATAATACATTAATAAATCATTTATCTTGATTTCAAATTAATTTATTAATCAAGTAATAAATTAATAAATCATTATTCTCTTTCTAAGAGTTATTCTATTTAATTGTCAGGTTTGAAGGCAACCCAAAAGGACATTACTACTATCAATTCAAGTACATATCAATTATAGTTATGGGCTTAGACACCTAATCCAACACATTCTTAAAATAATGTATTGTTTTGTACTTTTAATTTAGCTTCTTCTTTATTCCATATTATATTCTTTAAAGAATGTTTTTTTATATTTTTTTAGCAATGATAAATTATTCTTCAAGAATCTAAGTTGTGCATTTGTAGTTAATTTTTTATTTTTCAAAAATGTATTTTCTATTCATAGTAATGCTTATTATTCTTAAATAATTTTAGTTATGAACTTGTAATCCATGTCATATTCTTCAAGCATAATAAGAATGATAAAGAAAGAAAGTTGAACTTATCTCTAGAAAATGTTCCTGAAAATTTAATTTTCAACAATGTTATTTTGTATTGCTTAAATTTTGATTTGAAATTTCCAGAAAATTTTGGTTTGTATCATTTAATATCCAAAATTTTCTAATTTGTTATTAAACAAAATGACAAATTTACCTTTATTGATATTTTAAATTTAAAACAAAATTACTTTTTCCAGTTATTACCATCATGGCTATATTCATCATAACCACTTTTTTTATCTAATGGGCCAAAAAAGGTCATACATTCATACAATAGTTGTGATTCACATTTAATCCTAACCATATACTATATATATATATATATATACACACACACACACACACACACACACACATATATATATATATATATATATATATATATATATATATATATATATATGAACAGAGAGAGAGAGAGAGAGATAAAGAGAGAGAGGAGAGAGATAGAGAGAGGATTGTTCAAAAAAAATAACAGTAAATAGTTTGAAAATGTAAAAAGATTACTTTTATGTTTTTATTCTACAATGAATTTTTTATCTTCAACTTTATGTTATTGTTCAACAATAAATAAATGAATAGTCACACGTTAAAACTACTATTAAAATTTTGCTACAATTATGCACATACACAAATTTATAATAGAATAATAACATTCTAACGAATATATAAATAATCAGACATTGATATTGACATTGGAATTATTTCAATAATATACATACACAACATTCATTGCAGAATAATAATATACTCATAGTGTTTTATATTTTCACACTATTTACTAATTTATTTAACTTACTTCCATGTATATATATATATATATAATATATATATATATATATATATATATATATATATATATATATATATATATATATATATATATATATTGTTGTAAATAATTGAATGATAACATTTCCTAATGTCAAATGTGTAAGAGTTATTTTCAATTCTTATGATAAATATATCAAATATGTGTAAGAACTCATTAATTATGTCTAGTGATTTAACTAGTATAAATAGCACTATTACATATGTAAAAGATACACCAATTTGAATACTTTATATAAGTTATCAAATTCTCTCCAAATCTCCTTTCTTCATTCTTAAATGTCCTTTATTTAGTTTTACTAATCTTGTTTTAATTACATCAAATTTATAACACATTATCAGTACGAAAGCTCATCACATCTATCTTAATCAAGGTATGCATTACTTAGTAAAAACATTATTAATTATAAAAACCTGCATCATATTAAAATAATAATAATACTAATGAATTAATAAAACTTATACATTATGGACTACTAACGATTTTTATTTCTTATACTAACATTTCTTTATGTATTCTAATTTTTTATGCATACTAACATTTACATTATGCAACTAACTTTTATTTATGCATACTAACATTTACATTATGCAACTAACTTTTATTTATGCATAGTAACATTTATATTATGCAACTGACTTTTCTTTATGCATACTAACATTTAAATTATATTTATTTATACATGTTAATGTTTATTTTTTACTCTTCATAATTTTATTTTAACATTTACTAATATTTATTAATGTATCTAATTAGTAAAATTATACAAAGTAAAGTTATGTATTAGTTATAAATCTTATTAAATGATTTATAAATATACAAAACGGATATATATATATATATATATATATATATATATATATATATATATATATATATATATATATATATATGCAACGGTTATAAACAGTAAAAACAACGACTATTTTTTTTACTATAAATAAACATATTTACCCTGCTTATTTTACCCCCAATAAATATTTCTCTCTTCTATCAAACAATTCAATTTCAAGAAATCAAGCTTCATGATGATTCACCCGTTTGTGATAATCATGACTATAATAGTCATGTTACTTTTCATCCCAATCTTTAACATCGAAGATAATATGGAATTTCATCTACTTTTAGGCTTGTATGCAATGTTAGCTTTACCGCTTCTTTTTTTGTGTAATATTTATTGAAATAAATGGGTTTTAATTTTTATTTTGCTTAAAATTTATAGTTACATTATGTCAAACATTGCAAAGCTCGAGTTTGCAGCACTTGAAGTTAGTTGGAAAAACTATGTGACATGGATGATAGATGCAAAAATGCATCTTGAGTCCATGGGAATCTCAAATGCTATAAATGAATTTAATAATTGCTTGGCACAAGAAAAAGCGAAAGCACAGGTTTTTCTTCGTAAACATATTGATGAAATGTTAAGATTTGAATATCTTGATGTTACTAATCCAAGTATTCTCTTGAATCTTTTGAAAGAAAGATTTGATTATCAAAAGGAAGTTATACTTCCAAATGCTAGAGATGAATGGAGAACACTTAGGTTTCAAGACTTCAAGAAAGTAAATGAATACAATTAAGCTTTGTTCAAAATTTGTTCACAACTCAAATATTGTGGACAAGAAGTTACTGATGAAGATATGTTGGAGAAAACTTACTCCACATTTCATGCAACAAACATTACCTTGATGCAACAATATCGGATGCAAAAGTTCACAATATATTCTGAACTGAATGCATGTCTGCTCGTTGCAGAGAAAAACAATGAACTCTTGATGAAAAACCATGAATCTCGTCTAACAGGATCAGTATCACTTCCTGAAGCAAATGCTACAAATACTAATAGTCATCGAAACAATACACGTGGACGAGGGCGTGGTCGTGGTCGAGGACGAGGCCATGGCTATTTTAATCGAAACCAAAGCCATAATGAAAACCATAATTCTAGTCGTGGACAAGATAATAATCGTGGTCGTGGCCAAACAATGAATAATTACCAACATTCACAAAGAAACAATGTCCACACACAAGATAAGGCCAAAGTGGCAAGGCATGACACTGGGACATTACAAAAATCTAATGGTTCATGTTACAGATGTGGTAGCACAGGCCATTAGTCAAGGACCTGTCACACACCTGCACATCTTTGTCAACTTTATCAAGAGTCCGTTAAAGGAAAAGGAAAAGAAGCAAACCTCATTGATAATGTTGAATTCACTCCGCTAAATATTGCCAATTTCTGCAATGACATGGAAGACATTAACTAAAAAAAGTCTATTATTGCTCTAGTAAAACTGTTTTTCCTTCGT